CTTTTGCAACATTCAGGAGTGGAGGATACATCGTGATGTCAGGTTCGTATTCCTACACGGAAAGTGAAAGCTAGCATGCTAAGCTAACTAGCTTTCACTAGTCAGCTAGTCAGCTTGTTACTTTTGTTGCTTTTCATCCAAGTAATTTTAACACCTACTGAGTCATCAAAAGCCCCTGAACACTTACCATTGTGTTTGTACTTGCTGTGTCTCTTTCATGGTGCATTCCAGTTTTGGCAAAACTTAAAGCAACGTGTTGTCCTTTAACCTCAGCACTCCACACCAGAGTTTAGTTTTAGTTTAGTTTTTTATTAGTTTCAGTGTTGGCTACACTTTGTGAAGGCAGTTGATTCACAGTCAGTTTTTTTCCTAAGTAAATTGTTATTTTTATTTCAGTCAACTAAAATGTTTTGTTTAGTTTTAGTTTTTAGTCTAGCTGATCAACTGCCTTCGTTGCTGCTGAAATTGAAGTGATATTACAAAAAAACTCGAGTACCAAACATTGTCAGTTGGTACCAACAAATCACACCCCTTTGAGAACACTGAAGAAAAATAAATAGATCTTCAGTTTCTTCTTTTTGGTACATACAGTTCTGACGAATTAAGTACACAAAACAAACACTAGAGCAGTACAGTATATACTGAACTATTTGCAAAAATGGGTTTAATTTCAGTTAGGCTCTAATCTAATCAGTGTAATCTTGGCCCTTCCTCCTGACCCCCCTCCCATTTTCCTCAGCATGTCCTGCCATTCTGCCATATCACTGAAAGATTGCTATCCAGAGGTCCCGTCTCATTTTGACGTCTTTTCAGGCTGCTCAGGCTTGACTGATTAGCATCACAGTTCAGGGGACAGGCTCCAGGTAGCATCCCCATCGTACTCAAATATGTGGGTGGCACTGATAAGAGCGGTCAACAGGTTTTGGTCCGCCTTCCCTCCATCACTTGGCTCCATTGCCCCGGCTCTCCTTTCCTCTGTACACCCTCAGTGATCCAGAAAGAACCAAGATCCAGACAGACAAGACACACGCACATACACACACATCAGATAACGCAGTATGATTGGTCCCAGGCTGTGTGCCTTTCTCCGCTTGGAGGCATGACTGTTCAGTTCCTCGCCAGGCCTCTTTTGTTTTCAGCTTTTGCAATGTTCCAAAGTTTGTAATAACCTTGGATATTGATCTGTTTTAACCCATACTGATTCCTGTTTAAAACAATACCAGCCAGTCATTGTTATTCAGACACCGTTCATCCATGGCTCAGTTTCATGGCATTGATTTTGATTATTATTTCCTGGGAGGGAGAGTGTGTTCTTAGATAAGTCTAACATTTCGGCTAATTAAAGGATGTTTGGGGTTTTCTCTGAATCAGCAGGGATCACCAGGCACTTAATTAGCTCTGTCAATAAAGGAAACTGCAAGGACACTGAGCCGCCCTGATGCTGAGCTCTGACTGCAGGGTCTCAGTGTTTGTCTATGAAAGTATCACGTTGGAATTGTGTGTGTGATTTAGTTAGCTTGAAAGGTCATGAAATTGCAACCACATGCTGAAGACGGGACAAACAAATCACCCTTTAAAATTACAGTGTCACAGGCATCAGTAGGTTCTAAAACTAACCATGTGGCTTGTGTGCGATTCATCATTCGGGTTTTTGTTCCAGTTGGCGCTATGCTTGTTTTTGGAGCTGATTTAGAGCTTAAAGTTGAGGCTGTGTTGTTGTTGTTTTTTTTTTTTACATTTCCATTGTTTACACATGCTACCATCACTAATGGTATGCTGTGACAGGCCTTGCATACCCTGCTACAGCTGTCGTCCCTTGTGTGGGGTGTAATTTCAGTAACAGGATAGCTCTCCATCCGTGGCTGCTGGCAAATGCGCCCCATAACTGTAATGGACACTGGACCCCCAAATCCCTGTGCCAGCCTCCTGATAATCAATCAGGCGTGGCCTCCCGGCCCCGACAGACCCTCTCTGCAGGGTCCAATGAAGGTAGCGACACCAGGGACAACTCAGCGCCACCTGATCCTTGCAAACACCACTCGAGGCACTTTGATGCCTGGTGTTCCTGCACCTCTTCTCTCCACACCCTGGCTGCATGACAAGGTCTGTTGCTATGCGCACCAGTCTTACCAAACGTTATGACGGCAACTCTGTGGGCAGAGATGCACACCAGCTGCTGTTGAATCGTGATCATCGCTTACATTGCGCAACCCTGCTCTGGTCAGTACTGAGCTCGGTATTATCACTGTTTACTCACTAAACCTTACTGCAGATAATTACCACAGTTTTCCCTTTTTCACCGTCAGCACCGCTTGGCACTTCCTCTCCGCAAGCACTCTGTTTATGTTTATGCTTTCAGGTGACTCACGTCTTCTGGAAATGTTTCTGTCTGGGTTTAATTTCCTCATCTTTTACAACTCTCTCCCTCGCTCTCATTCTTCGTCTGTCTCCCTCTCTTCCATTTCTCAAAGCCAGGGCCTCAAAGCCAAGCCAGGTATGATTATATCTTGGTTGTTGTTATTCTCAGAGGACCGATGCGCACGCTTTTTCCTTGAGTCTGGACGAAGGAAGAAACAAATATGCAAAAAAAGAAAGAGTGCAGTGAGTTTCTAAGTCTCTGATCTGTTTGTTTGGATCACCATCCAGTTTGCCTCATAGATAGCTGCTCAGTAGTGTCTTCCATCGTCTTCTCTCTGAGGGACTTTTTAATGATTTTTGCAGCACTTTCATGGACCACATCACTAAACACTGGTTTGTGCTGCTCTCCTCCGGGGCTTACATCTGTGGAGGACTGATAATTAGGCTTTGATGCTTCATGTTCACTCTATCTATGCTGTCGGTGTCTCTCGTTAAATGGCTTCATGCGGCATCACAGTGACAAGTCTTTGAACGCAGAGCGTCTGCCAGAAGATTAAAATCACACTTTGCTGGGTAGAAAAGATCTCCTCTGAGGGAGACAGGAGTCTGGCATGCAGTTTGTTTGGTGAAGCATAGTGAGAGTGTGAGGGGGTTGAATTTAACCAGCTAACTTTGAATTTACTCATGTCATGTTATCTACCAAGGAACACAGGTACTCAGTGTTACCTGTGTGCCTCTCCATCATGGACTGCCTGTGGATCAATTCTTGAGATGTAGCTTTTGACTGATGCCATACTCATTGTAGCTATAGTGATTCAGTCACATCACTCTCCATTATCACGGGAATAGATGGGCTGTCCGGGAGCCAGGGTGTTTTAATAGTGGTTTACATTTAATGCATTTAAGTGAAACAGTAGATATTCTACTGAACTGTTTCCTTATTGCTGTTGAGTCTGTTGCCGATATATATTGCTATTGTGGGCCCAAGTTGATTCTTGTCTTTATCTTTTGAAACATTTTATTGATAAAGAGTGGAGATTCTTTCTCTGCTATCTTTGGTGTAAACAGTCCAGACTCTAACAGGCAAGAGCATACCCACCAGACAGCTGTAAAACAACAGTCAGGAATTTCATTTGTCAACTTAACATTGAACTGTAACAAACTCAATAGTTGCCAAATACTTGTTTCACCTCTTTCCTCTTGTTAAGATATTGTCAGTAATTTATGATAGAGCAGGTTTGCACTGCGTATGCAAATCTCAGTGTAGCAGGAAGAAATGTGGGAAATATTAAATCGATGAAAGATTTTACGCTGTTCAGCATTTAGTCTGTGTCAGAACCTATAGCAGTCTAACTATTAGATAAAAAAAGTACAGTATAGTTGATTGTAACTGATTTGTAGTGACTGAAATACAGAGCCTATGAGTGTAGCAGAAAGAATGGTAATGGCTTCCATTAACGATGTAGATCTTCATCTTGATAATATAAACGCCATAACCACATCCAAACAAATTATTGGTTTGAATGTTCTCTGCAGTTTTTCACGGTTCTAACTCATTCAAACACTCACTAATAATAAACTGTCAACTCAGTTTTACAGTCTCCATCATTGTAAGTACAGATCGTTTGTTCCATTATTAGCTTCAGTGGAAGCACAAAGGCTGTATTTACTGAGAAAAGAGAAGGGCCAATATTTTTGCGAGCCGTGACTTATTAAGTTACTTTTGGGCTCGTTATATCATATTGTGTGAATCCTTGTGGGTTGAATTAGTAATTTACAGGCTTTTACTGCTGACACACCGGATGGGGCTAATATGATTAGTCTGGGAATACAGATAGGAGGAAAGAAGAGTGTTAGACAGACTGCCATACCCTCTAGAGTATCATTCTCATCAAAGCTAGAGAGAACCGTTGAAAGTTTTTCAACTCTTGAGTAAGCTCTGGTTATGGCAATATTTAAAAGTTATGCTTATCTGTAAAGAGGATGATAGAAAGCCAGGCCCTTGCCTGTTATGAGTTCACGGCGTGCTCAGGCCATGAACCACCTGACTAGATTTGGTCCAAAGGGTCTAGACAGGTCTAGCACTGGAAACAAGAAAACAACAGCTTAGCTCCCAAAACATCAAGTTTGTTTTCCCCGTCTCACTAACAGACTGTGAAAATCTATTTTAACGGCAGTCTGAGAAGCAAAGGCATAGTTGCATGCTGTAGAGATGGTAACAGAGGCCCGCCACTTCATGTTTTTTTTCCTCTGTTAACAAAGACTCCACTGTGTGAAAGTTCAGATCCCGCTGAGGCTACATATCAGAGCTAAGCAAGTGCCTTTTAGGGAGAACACAGCATGCCGTCTTTGTGAGTTTATCAGCAAAGGGAGTACGTAAACAACCACAAAGCCAGATAAAGGAGAACAATCTACAACATTATAGCCCTGCAATTACACCAGGATGATAACTGTATCGCCTGATATTTTTGGTTATATTTCAGTGAACATGAGAAAATCAAAGCATGACATTTTCACAGTGCAGCTGTGTGAAATGTGATCATGTGATGTACTGAGAGTGATCTTGTTGTGAATTCTGTCTGTTTACCAGTGTGTTGTTCTTTTATGTGACTCAATCCCTTTTTTTTGTTTCGCCTTACCAGGTTGAGCTGCATCTGAAGCCCATCCAGTCTTTGCTGCGCCACCAGAAGCCACTGGTCTTCGTGCTCAACTCCCCCCAACCACTGATCTGGAAGATCAAGACAGAGAACCTGGCCCCGGGCATTAAACGTACCTTTCATGTGAGTCCAGCGTCACTAAAAGCCTTTAAATCTTACTTCCTAAATCTGTGTATTCATTTCCGCACAGGCTAAACCGTATTCCCATTTCAGTAGCCCTCTTCTCTGAGAATTATTTAAAGTGATATGAATTTGCAGAGGAGGCCTTTCCACACTCCACAAGAGGTTTCCCATGATTTGATCTTGATGGCATGCATGCGCAGTCATTTGTGGCGAGGCATTAATCTCTGTATACACATACATAATGTTTCATCTGTGCATACTTATTTAGCTACAGCTGTGCACTGCAGATGAATTCTTAACATTTGATTATCTTGATCATAAAATAATTGTAGAGCTAGTTTTAGATTAGTAGAAGTTTAAGATTAATATGAATATTCTTTAATTTATATTTATCGATTAAGTATGTAATCCCGAGAGTTTTGCTTTCATTATTTTGCCAGACTCAAACCAGCATCACTCCCTCACGTCATGGTGTAAAATGTATTTATCTAAAAAGATGAGATGTGCTTTGTCAGCTTTATTCACACTACATAACCACAGTCCCCCCCAAACAGTCCTGTTGATAGCTTGGCAGCTGTTCAATTCTGACAGGGCGTATCCGTATACCACAGAAACCCTAACAAGGGGGAATGTGTGGTAGCAAACACTAAACCACTAAAACTCTGCTGAGGAAGGAGTTCATCTCTCACCTTTTGATTTTGTTGAATCATCATTTAATAGTATTATTTTGTCCAATCTATGGTGCGACTGATCCAGATTTGTAAGATCAGCAAGACACTAGACCTGCAACGTATAGGTGATTAATCGATTAGTTGTCAATCGCCAAGTATTTTGATAATCAGTTCTGGGCAATTTTCTAAGACAAAAATGCCAAATTCTCTATTTCAGCTTCTCAAATGTGAATATTTTCTGGTTTCTTTAGTCCTCTATGACAGTAAACTGAATATATTTGGGTTGTGGACAAAACAAGACATTTAAGGACAGACACTGATTTTTCACCATTTTCTGACATTTTAGCTTATCAATTAATCAGGAAAATGATCAACTGATTGCCCTACAAGACACTGATGTAGCTTTTGTAGGATTGGTAGTTATAACAGGAGGACAAGTAGAGAATAACCAAAATATGCAACATGACTCATTAAGGTCAGTAACACAGCCTCCATTTTATGTTTGCTAACATTAGCCAGCATTAGCTACTGGTCATACCCAAGGCTGTAGCAGCAAAACTTTAGAATTCTGAACTTTGTGTTTTATTATCTAAGTTCAATGTTTTTTCTTCTTTTAAAAGTTACACTGAAATATCAAAATGATTCACCAGAGGGTTGTGTTAGGACCTGGGTACATGGGGAGGAGGTTTTGGTGAGGGACATCTCAATGTATTTGAAGCCTGATCCCCTAGAGAGCCAGCCATATTTAGTAAAGGTACCAAGGGGCCTCACTGGGAAACTTAATAAGAAATGTAAAAATGGACTGCTTCAGTGCCCTTGTTTAAAGCCTGAGAAAAATCATTGTAAAATGAGACCCACAAGCCTCAGCCATGGCTTAACTATACTATATTGCGATGAAAACTTTTTTCTTTGCCTTCATATGCTCTGAAGGCTTTATTGTATTTTTGGCTTCCCAGAAGTAATCATTTTCAATTGTGTGTTAACACCACAGCATTCTGCAAGAATGCAGTATCAGGTACACAAATTTTTTCCATATGTGGTCGGGTGTTTCCTTGCTTACGTCTCATGAGCAAAACATCCTGCCGTGAAAGCCAATGTGACACGGAGAAAAAAATTGCAAAATCCCTGCGTTATGCACAGGCTCATCTACACACACGCACACACATGTTATATAAAGAGCCCTGTGTTCCACTAACATATTCTTACATATTGTCCCAACCCCTTTGACATTTAGAATATGTGTCTTCTAGACCGTATTAAACTTTTTCAGGCTTATCTGACATGACCTTCATCAAGCAGACATGTTCATAAATCATCACCTCCGCATTTAGAGTAATTACTGTACACTTAAAAAAGGCTGCATAATAAAAGGATAGGGTTGTTTACTTCTCGACTTTCATCCAAATAAATATTTCTTCTAAGAGAATTTGTAGAGAAATTAATCAAATCGGATGTTCTAAATAAAACCTTTTTGAGGACCCTGCTAAATTGAATAACCAATATGCGAGGAGAACACACCAAAAATCTTTTCAGAATTTCCTCATGCGTGAGTAGGTTCATAGTTTAGAAATACACAACATGGACACTTGAACAAATACTTCTCTTAATTATTATTTCCTGCAGTAATGGAAATGTTCTCATGTCAAAAGACACTTGGTACATTTCATGCAGATGGATGTGCATCTGGCCTGCTTGTGTTTTCCTAAGCTGTGATAATGTGTGGCCAGTGAGACGGGTGTTTCTGTAGAGACCAGCAGGTCAGCATCACAGTGAACGTCTCCCCTTGTCAGTGGTGGCAGACAGAAAACAGCTGACAACCATCATTAACTACGGTCCAGGCAGAGCTGTTGCTGTGTGTCTAATGATGTTGGACATCAGTGCTTTTGCAGAGGAAGGAGTTTTCCCTTCTTTTTAATCTCACATGAAAAAAGAGGCTGCTCTGAATATACTTCTTAAATGATAAGATACATCTCTGTATTAGAGGAATATGTCAGATTAATTTACAGTAGCTACACATGCTCAATTATTTATCTGACTGGAGCAAATATATATTTTCTGAGACAAAACTGAGGCATTAGCTTTCTCTGTTAGCCTTTCAGTATGTTACTTGTGTGACACATAATTGCAGTTTTTCAAGTGGGGTGAGGAGAGATAAAAGGAATCTTAATAGCGAAGAAAGAGGCCTCTGCAGTCAGACAAAGCTTTGACTGACTGTAGGGCCCCCCCTCCTGAATAAGGTGTTAAGTATTTTGTGTTTGAGTGACAGCACTGAGCCCTGTGGCAGTGCAATCTGTTAGTATCTTATCCACCAGCCCGACTGCATATTGCTGTAACCCAGAGGAGTCCCAGACTCTGCTCCTCTTCTCAGGTTCTCTCCACAGTGACATCTCCTTAACATGCCACAAAACTCACATACCACATAATATCCTGCTGGAAGAACAATCACCGGCCTTCTCCTCACTGTTAAGATTCACTCTCTTCATCAATAATGAATCGCAGTCCAGCCTCCAGGATGATTGCAGTGTGACTTTTTTTGCTCTATGCACCACTGAGCAGCATCCATAAGAATAAATGGCGTGCCGCCTCCAATGCTGTATCCAGTTCTCTTTATTCATCCATGATTGCAACTGATTGTTGACTAAGCCGTTTAGCTACTGTTGCTACGCCTGTCAAACTTCATACGCAGTTCACAATAATAATAGCAACATACAGTATTTACTAATTGAAATTCATAGTAACTTTTTAAATAGTGGGTCCTTGGTTTCAGACAGAGGTAGGCAAAGGCCTGCTACTCATTTCTCATTGGTTAGCGGAAATGACAACTATTGCTGGCAGATTGAATAGCTATAGCTAGCTAGCTAGCTAGCTAATTAAGCTAACAGTAGCGCCATCAGTTGCTTGGAAACAGCATCTCGGGGTGATTTTTTGTGTTTCCAGCTGTCGTTTTAAAAAAGAGAACCATGTAAAAGGGGTCTTAAATATACCAACGTGTTTGCCAGATGTAATGCTATTGTGGTTTGGCTGGGGTTGCTGGAGTGTAAACTTACCTATATCCAATAAGTTGCAGGACAGAGCTGCTAACGTCTCCAACCTTTGATAATTTCCAGGACCGGCTTCCCTCGGGGGGTTAAATACTACACAGTGGATGTGCTGGTTGTGTTTTTTTTTTAATATAACCTGTATCCTCCATGTTTATAGTTAATGATGTGCCTCTTAGCCTAGGAAGTAATGCTCAGGTATTACTGTAGGTAGTAAGCTAGTTAGCTGGACATGATAACAATTGAAGCTTATGTTTAAACAAACTTTTTCCAATCAATACGTTGTTGCTAAACTATGATTGGACAGTTGATTGGGGAGGGATTTAGGTAGGATTTACGTAGTGGCATCTAGCGGTGTTGTTGCAAGTGGCAACTCCATCGCTTCAGCGTTCCCTTCCAAGCATGAAGGAGAAACTACTGTGGTCATGAAACATGCAAAAAAATGTCTGGGTACTGTAGAAACATGGAAGTTCAACATCGCAGATTCTAAAGAAGGCGACCCGTGGCGTCTGTAGATGCAGACAGCTCACTGTAAAGTAAAAAAAAATCAATCTATCAATCACACTAATGAAAACATACTTGAATATTATATTCCATTTCTGCCAATAAAGTCTCCTGAATGTTACACACTGGACCTTTAAATGTTCAACTTAAAAAAGTACATATGTACCACAACCAAAGAAAATGCAAAAATCTCGGTGCATTAGTGACCTTATCCAATTCCCACACTTTCTGATCCGTGCCTCTCAGGTGAAGAAGTTGCTGTGGTGAGAGCCTACAGTAACAGAGTCAAGAGGAATTGGTTTTGGACTTAACACTTCAGAACAGAATCCCACTTCCAGACCTCCCTCACACTGCATTTCCACTGGAGAGGCTGTTTCCTGGGACTAATTGGACTCTGAATCAGGCCTGCCAGTCCTTGTTTCCTGGTCTCAGTACTCTGGGCTCCATGGACACAGATGGGCTGCCTGGAAAAGCTTCAGAGACGCTGAGCACACTGTTGCTGTTGGCCACTGGACTCTGCCGTCCTTTTAAAATGCCAGAATCCAGACTTTTGTTGTAAAACATGTTCTCTGCGGTACTCCTTGTCAATCAGCAGCAGGCAGGAATCATCATGGGTCTAAAATGACATGAAATATGAACATTGAAATCAGGCCAAATTTTATTTTACCAAGGGACACTAGTATTCCAAGTGAGACACATGTGCAGAGTTTGCTGTGTTGACTTTGTGGCCAAAGGTATATATTTCTTTTTGGGGGTTAGGGGAGGAGGGCTAAGTTGCATCTCTGCTTGAAAGGCTTGATCTGGATCAAATGTTTTATGACTCTTGATGGAACAACACTGTAGTTTTGCTGTTGGCTCGTGTTGCCTATTGTTTGTTTGCCAAGCTTTGCTTTTTCACTCCTGTATTTCTTTCATTAGTTGAAGGCTTGTAGTTTGAGTTCTCTCGCTCTCACACACGAGCGCTCTCCTCAGTGTAATCGTTAATGGAAACCATGGGTAGCCACTATTGGTTTTCATTTGGAGACAGGAATGGCAGAGGAACGCTCCAGAGTGGCGCTGAGACATATGGTATTGTTTTCTCCACAACAGAGCCTGCCAGTTCACAGGAACACACGCACGTTCGCAGCGAGCAGCGTGGTTAGCTCCACATATCTCATCAGGAGAGAGAAGATCAAATCAGCCACAAAAGCATTTATCACATTAATATCACCAGAGACTTATTGCATGCTCATATTATCTATCAACCTTTCTGCACTTTCCATCACCCTCCTCTGTTTGCAACACCTCTTAATTTTCAGACAGCCTGTTGCGATTTCCCAGGCTCAGGGTGTTGCTCAGTGAGAACGCAGTGGAGGATTGCAGCTTTGTGATAATTGATCTCAAACATTTGGCATGCCTCCTCCTTTTTACTGCACATATGGCCGTAATATGTTGGTGCTTATAGGCAGGAAATATACTGTTAAATGTTTTGGGCCACGTAAGGTACTCTGGTATAGATCTTAGGAGAAGTTTTATGTTACAATTTAAAAGACAGAAAGAAACCTATAGCATTTAGCTGACAGTGATAATTGTATATTAGTGAAGACAACGGTTACTATTTGAGTTGCTGAAGAAACATGCCTGCCTGCAAATACCATTACAAACATAAGTACATGAGTTTCTACCATTACGAACATGAAAGCATGAGTTTCAGTCCCCATGGTATGTAACTAACTTCTCCTACATTCTTTGTTGCACTCAACTGCCAAGCCTGTGGAATTCCTCTTAAGTCAAGGTAACATCCAGTTTTCGTGTATTTGAGCGTCAGAACACATTACAAGGCCTTTACAGCTAACACAATCTAACTTAAAGCCAGTTTTTGGCAGTAAAAGATATAGATTGCTTAATAAGAGATGAACTCTATTTTCATACAATGAGGTTATGCTTTGCTTGGCAATGGGCTGCCACTTGCAGCTCAGAAGAACTTGAGAAAGACACGAGACCTTTGCTGCAAGCACTGGATGGTCACACCAGTCCAACACAAACATCTTTTAGATCTTTTTCTACAATTTGCTGATACAAGAATAATTCATTGGAGTGCTATGCTCTAGTCTAATCTATAAAGAAACCTTTTGCTTTATGTAAGTACATGAGCAACACAAGTGACATTATTAAGTGAAAGCTTATGTAAATTGTTTGCATTATAGTATATTTTATATGTATATATTGTACTTAAGCCCATGAACGAAGTTGTTCTTGTCCATAACTTTAAGGGCTCTATTTTCCTGAAACGGGGCGCAAAATCACGTGCAAATCCTCAAAATTCTTTGTGATTTTGGTGACCACATGTGTTGGCACAAACCAGGTGCAACCAGGCGCAGCTGGACACAACGTGGAAGGGAGGCTAAATACGTTATTAGCAGGAGGACTACAGATTGAACAGGTAGAGTCAGGGAGAGTTTCAGTAATGACCAATGACCTCCTCTCTTCTCCTGTCAATGGTAGAATGAACTTATGGCCGATGTATGATATTTATATATATATATATATTTTTTATATATATATTTCCCCAGCTGCTGGAATATAGGCACAACTGGTTATAGTTGTGCAAACAATTATTAAAGGATAATTAATACATTACTCACTTATTTATATATTTAAAGTCCAATGAACATAAACGAGTCTAGCTGCAGAAGACCTTCATTGGGTAATTGCAGGAAACCAATGGGTTCGTGTTGACTGTTGCCGATGAGGGGCTGGTACGGGTTTGCAAACTGGACCCGTGCTGCACTCGGCTCCAGACATTAAAGAAACAACCTCACATATGTGAACTATTTGTATGTAAATATTTTCAATAACATGTTTAATTTGTTGGTCTGATGGATCATTTTGTGGTGTTACTTGACTATCTGAATATGCTTCCATGCGCATAAGCCACAACTGCAAAATATTTATAAACATGATTGCAAGTAAAAAATGGCAAAAACAGAAAAATCACTGTAATAATGTTCTTGACATGATAGAAAAATAGTTTTTAAGCAGAGTTTGTACATTTGCTTTGATAAAATGTCCGGCCTGATTTGAAGGAGTTTAGGTTTTTAGAAGTTGAATCAACTGCACAGAAAATATGCAACTTTTTACAGGATGTTGTGGGCATCTCACTCATCAAGTATTCATCGGTATTAACGTTAAGGAACTCTGTCTCCACGTTACTTATCATTACAGTCATGTGGATATTGTTGAGCTAATAAGCTGGAGATAAACTCACATAAATGAGAGATTATTAGAGATTTGGTGACAAATGGATGCACGCGCCTCTGCCAAAGCCACCAGAATTGCCCCCGTCTGCGTTCGCTGAGCATGTTTTAACTCAAATGTATATTTGTGCCAAAATGAGCACCAAAATTGCACTGTGCCCTAATTAGCATAAACCCAACCTCGTGCAAACACGTTCACTTGGTGCCAGGAAATTACCAAACAGATGCAAAAAAAAATAGACTTGAACAAGAGGAAAATTGCATTTAAAAACTGCATTTTCCTCAGTACTGGCCTTGCGCCTACAGGAAAATAGAGGGTTTTTTTGGTCTGTCAACTGGGCATGCAACAGGGGAGACGGAGAGAGAGAGGGAGAGAGAGTTTGTTAAAGCCCAGAGTAGGTCTGTCACTTCCCCATTTCAAATTCCTGCGGTTTTCAGTGCTCTGGAAGGCCTGGAGCTAATTTGGCTTTCAGGCTTTCCCCTCTAATTCTTTGCGACTAATTACAGTCATATTCCCGCAATTAAACTGATAAACTCTGCTGAGCTTGGCAAGGTTAACAAAGAAACCCCCGGCCCCTCCTCACTGGCTCAGGGAAACACCTCTTCGCCATCTTCCTTTCTGTTATTTCTCGCCGTAGTAAACACACTAAAAATATAATCAACCTGGATTCTTCGACAGAGACTGTCTCCTAGGCCCCAGTATTTACTGCCTCTGGTGACAATGCCAGGAACATCACAAGGAGCGTCCAGAGGTCAGACAGATGTTGCGCATGAGGGGATTTGAATAGTTATGTCTGAAAAACCTAAAAAACCCAAAGGGATATGATTCTATTATCATTAAAGTATGATTGCAATTTGGGGACAGCTTCATAACATCGTCAGAAAGAAGTGGCCTTACGTATTCCTCTTGGATTCAAATGGACTTAATGTTTTAATTGGGCCTGCCAGCACTGTCTCTGCTCATGCATACAGATAGGATACCTAGGGAGAAAGAAAAACAAGCACGGAAATAAAATGAGGTAGGCTGTCTAGACCGAGTGCTTGGACTCATTTGGTTGTTCTGTAGGTTTTTCAGCACATGTGAATGTTTATCTCTCTGAAATGAAGCATATGGGCTGAGCTCCATTAAGTGCAAAAGGGGTGGTCCTTCCTCAATACAGCCCCTGTCAAACACAAATCAGCACTTCTTTGCCCTCCATATTTTTAAGACATCTCCCTTATTGACGGCTGGGCTCAGTACAGCAACCACCACTGTACTGTTGTCCTTTGGCAAAAATGTATGTACTGAATGTTTTTTTACTACCACGTTCCTTAAACGTTTGTGTGTGTGTTTTACCTGTTATGAGTGTGTGTGTGCCCATGTACTGGCCTTACTGTCTGTCTGTGTCAAGTATTTGTGTCCTGCCCGTTATCCCCTTGTGGCCATTTCGAAGCAGACCTACACATTTGTGATGACGCACTACAACAGTGTATAAACACTGGAAACCAGACACCTTATTGTGTAGAGGAACATGTGTAAAAATACGCAGAGCATATTTGTAGAAGCTTTGAAATAACGGTTGGGATGGAGTGTGAAGGATGGGTTTCACCAATGTTTAGAGAGCAGGTTTAATTTTAGAAAGCCTGAGCTCTTTTTTCAGTAAGCCTGCAGGTTCTTCATTTTATAATCCAACATATGTTAAAAGGAGTTCAGTTGACTCTCATGTGCATGTTGCTGCTGTTGTATTATTATTAATAATTGTTTTTTAGATAATAGCTTAACACAGCAGCTTTTGTCCTCTAACACTGCCTTTTCCCCTCCTCAAGGTATCTGAGGGCTCAGAGGTCCACTTTCAGCCAGGAAACATCTCCCTCTTCTGCCAGATCGAGAAGGAGACCCTTCCCAATGGCAATGAGCACCTCCTCAACTGGGCCCAGAAGAAGTACCGGGCAGTCACCTCTTTCTCTGAGCTCAGGATGACTGAAGACATCTACATCAAAGTCGGTGAAGGTGTGTACTAGATTCCCAAAATTCCCAACATAGCTCTAGGCCCCAAGGCATGCCTCCCTGTTCCCCGTTAGCTCCCATAACTTAACTAAGCTTCTGTGTTTGAGCCGTTGCTAGAGGTTTACATGCACTACTCTGGGAAAAATATTTCCTTCCCTCAACAGGCGTCCACTCTTTTACACTATTTAGTCAGCTACCTATGGTAATTTTGAGTTCTAGCTGCTTACAACCTTGAAACCCCTGAAAAATAAAAGGAAGTGCACAACAACAGTGTATTTGAGTATTTTGGCTGAATTACAAATTCAAGATCATTGCATGAAGAAAGTTACATAGTTATTAATTTACTACTTAATACTCTTTCTGTCTATCTCTCTAACAATATCTTCAAAATGATTAGTTTATTAATCAATTGACAGAAAATGAATAGCCAACTATTTTGATAATTGATTAATGTTAAACAAATTTTTCAAGCACAATGTTAACAATTCCCTGGTTCCTGTTTCTCCAAAGTGAGAATTTGTTGCTTTTCTTATTTTATGGGATAGTAAACAAAATATCTATCATATCTATCTGAATAACATGACAAAATAATAGGCAGATAATCAGTAATGAAAATAATTCCTAGTTGCAATGCTGCTTTTTATGTGTGACATATTTTCCAGCATGGTATCTACATGTCTAGATACATCAGAAAAGACCAGAAGAAGAGAGAACCTACGATAGTTATTTTAAAAAGGGGCACTGTGCAAATGTGGACAGACACAGATTGCCACTGACAGTATCCCTGGATGCAAAATCCTCAGAAATATCATTTGTCTCTTTTGCTAATTGGTGTTACTTTCATAGACTACAGTCAAATCAAACAAAAAAAGTACAAAAGCTGGTGCAGGGCATTCAAAGGTTGACCAAATGTGAGGTGGAAAAAAGCAGTGGTAAGCAGGAGATAGACTATGCCTGTCACATTTTTCCAATAAGTAAGGTGAGGGGGGAGTGTGTCTGAAGTGAAGAAGCACTGCAGGATTCTCAGAGGAGGGTATGATTGATCTACACATGTTTGAGCTGTGGACCTTCGATTCTTCACACTACTGGCCGCTCCGTACAGTGAACACACTGCACGTCCAACTTCACAATGCATCAGCTCTCAGACAGGACATCTTGTTTTTAATGAGCATCTTTCACTACATGGAAATAAAACAAACCTCGTGTCTGGAGAGGAATAATGGCTCCACTACTGCTGGTGATAAGTTCTCTCTCTGTGCTGTTAGTTTCTGCGGAGAGCAGAGTGGTTGCAAGCGTTTGGCTTGTGTCATTAGGGGGCTGTGGTTTGGCAGAAGCCCAGAGTGCCATGATGTTTACTCCAAGCTGTAGATTTCCACTCCTTCACATCATTAGTAGTGTTTCATGAAGATGGACAGATTCTCACTTTGCTTCCTAACCAGGCCGTACCAGTGCCACAGGGGTTCCGGAGAGTAAGGTGCCAACCTTCAGTTTACACTTTGTCCAAGGCTCTGTTTGCCAAATAAGGAAGCAGCTGTCTTGTGTTTTCTCTGAGTGCTGAGAAGAGGCCTAACTTTTCATGTTCTGAAAGTGCTCTCTTAGTAGTTAATGAAATTTTGAACAGTCGCGAAAGTGGAGGAAAAAACACTACAAGGTTTGATTAAATGTGTTTATGAATATTATTGTCCTGTTATTGTGGAGGAATTCTGGTAAACACTCTTGCTTAGTTTTCCCACGTGAAAACCAAGAGAGAAATGTCCCTGTTGATAAGAAGGTCATGCCAACCAGAGCACGCCCCAACCTCATCCAGCACAGGCCTACTAAGTGCTGAGACAATGGGAATACCAGCTGCAGGGATGTGTAGTGAAGTGAGCATGGAAGCTGCTCTTCAGCTGGAACTGCTGGGTCAAAGCAAACATCCACCCTGCTGAAGTCTCTGTGAGCAGGACGTTGAATCCCTCCCAGAAGCAGGGGGTGCTGTTCTGTCGCTGACCTTGTGCACTGACCTCCTCACCTCCATATTTCTCCTTTTGGGGATCAAAATAGCCTCCCAGAACCCCCTCCCATAAAGTAACATAAACATCTCTTCCCCTTTCAGATCCAGTGTTTTCTGACACCTGCAAGATTGATACCAAGTTCCTGTCTCTGAACTACCTGGGCGGCTATGTGAAACCACAGACATCAAAGGGTTGTGTCCTGTCTGGGCCCGACAAAGACCGAGAAGTCCACATCATTGAGCTCCAAGCCCCAAACTCCAGCAGGTGAGCAGCCAGACCAGCCAAAGCCGAGAAAACATGTTGTCATAGTTTATTTTTGAGGTCAAGATGCTCACACTAATCTCTGTGGAGTTTGTTTTGGATGGAAACATGAACGGGGGGGGGGTCACTTAGTGGTGTTCTTTTGAGAGAGATATTTCAAAACTGGGTCTCAAAGTCCAGGTTGCCAGATAATCTCGTCACTCCCTCAGTGGAGTGATTATTCTGTACACCCAGAAGACCACAAATCTGGGAACGTGTTGGTAGCCATGCTGTATCTCACTCTTTTGCTATCTGGTCTGTAGTGCATATGTCTGCTTTTTTTCTGGGAATGCATCCAGCTTTTTAATTTGTTGGCCAGACACAGAGGGCACAATAACATTACGCCGACCTTAACTGTCCAACATTCTTTTTCTCTCTCCCTTTCTGCAGTGCTTTCCAGGTGGATGTCGTAGTGGAACTACGGCCTCTGGAGGATGATGCCCCGCTGCATCGTGACGTCGTCTTGCTGCTCAAGTGCGCCAAGTCTGTCAACTGGGTCATCAAGGCCCACAGTGTGATCGGCAACCTGGACGTAGTGGTAAGCTAGCAGCATGACAACAGATAAAAGCTTTTCATCCAGGAACATCATTTTTTTCCCCCTTTACAGACCACTGAGATTTGATAGAGTTTTATCACACATCACAGTGGCTCGCGAGTCATGTCACAGACAGAAATGTCATCACTTTGCACCAGCGACCAAAGAATTTGTCACACCAGAACGTGTGTTGAATTGGCGCCTGGTCCCCGCTTGCAGGATAGGGTGGGGATAACAGGTTAGGAGGAACTGTGAAATTTCATCGCGGCAGCTCCAGGGATTGTCATCACATTTTCAGAGAGCTGGGGACTGAGAGTGGTGGGGGCATCACATATTTTCAGAGCCAAGGCTACTGCACATAGAGCCTGAGCTGCTTCCCATCAGTCATAACGTGAATTACGAGCAGCGCTTGCTTCAGGCACTTTGTTAAGCGGCGAGCTGTTAGGACCTCCTCACTACACGCAAAAGACAAACACTGGCTAATTACTGCAATATATCAGAGTACCATTTTCTTAGAAATACGGTTTTATACATATCAACGCTGAGTCTGAATGTACAGTTTTGATATTAAATCTTCATTAGTGTTACTCAAGTCTCAGGATCCTTAGGAAGTGTAAGAATATGACACCTAGAGTATGTACACTTTGGAAGAATAGTTTAACTGTAGATCATGTTGATGGAGAATTGGCTGTTGCCCAACCACTGTAATTGCTCCAGGGATGGAATTTTAAACCCCATTTCTACAACACAAAATTCTGTGCAGTAAAACGGAAAGAAAGTCACCAATATTTTACATCTCCCAAAATATTTAATTCATTCAACTGTGGAGACTATTTACTGTATACTCGACCCTCGATGCCTCAATGTCCATTTGCTGTTGTCTTGTGTGGACCTCTCGGCTGTTTGCCCTGTACTGGTTTCAGTGGAGGTGTGCAGGGGGTTCTGTGTTTCCTCAGTGTGAAATGCTCATACTCCTATAGGGCTGCTGCAGTCATGACACTGCACTTTTGCCAGGCACAGTGTTTGTACAGCTGCCTGGTTACTGCTGTACAGTAAGTCAGTCAGGTTCTGTGAGTGTGATGCCAGGTCACAGAACAAATGAACGGTAATACTCACATATAACACAGCAGTTTAGGTTAGGAATGTGGATTGTTTTAGTACGGCTCTATGGATGACAATGCGTCTATCAATCAGTCTGTCCAACACTTTGGTTCAGACTGAATTAAAGTCTACATTATTAACATTATCATATATAAAGAATATTTACATGTTCTATAATGAGAAACCTTTTCAAAACATATTACATCAACTCAGTATTAGTGGTTTTACATAGAGTTTAATGCATTAGGGTTCATCGTAGGGTTATATTTGGGGCAAGCACATTTAACAAAGAAAGAAACCGGGTGTAGGGACAAACTGAAAGGTAATCATATAAAACCATTTTATTCTGTATCTACTGTATTGTTAAACATTTGATACATGGCCAGCTTCACAAGATATCAAACATACATTGTGAGTATGTGTTTAAGTGGTTACCTTTGAGTTTTTAGTGATAAATACACTAAGTGTGTTTGTATTCACACCAAACCAGAACCTGCCACACATTATCATCATTGTTACACTACAGACGGACAGTCAGTCTAAACACATGGCCATTTTTTTGGTCCGCAAATAGCTGACATTTTGACTTTTATTTGACAACCATGGTACACAGGATGCTGTGCTTGTGCAACCAGTGTTTGGGAGAGCGTCAACTATGTATGTGATATGATAGCCTCGTAAAAACTGAGGCCCCACTCCTGTCAGAAAGCGGGTTGTCCTCAGCGTTGCTCAAGAGACTTGAATGTGTGGGAAATGGCTGTGAGAAAGAATCATTACTCCCTTACACAGGGCGGGTATGCAGCAGGGCAGGACACGATTTGTAGGAGCAAACGAACATGTCGGTTTCTGAGCGTTGATTGAACTGTGACACGCCCATTACGTCAGACTCATGCACATGATTCACACTTGACACAGAATAGTACAGGACTGTACTTGAAGTTGAATATCTTTGGTAATACTTGAACAGTAAATCATGTCATTTGTTTCTGAAGATCTTAAGGGAGCTTAAATGGATGGTCTTGTTGACAATTTATTATTTTTGATGGAAAACATAAGATAAGACAAGGCTAATGACACTTCTGCTTTCTCTTCCACAGGCCTCTGATACTGTGAGTGTTAGTTCAAACACGGAGAGACTGATGCAAGTGTCAAAATCCCCCAAGCAGCACTTGCCATCGGGTCCACAAGCCCTGATCAAGTGGGCAGGGGAGCATGGCTACGGTCCAGTCACGTCTTACACCAGCACTCCTGTGGCTAACCACTTCAATATCCGACTCAGAGAGCCAGGTAAACTGAAGAAACATCTTCTGAAAGTATACTGAAGCAGAGAGCAAAATAGTGTAGAAATAGTTCAGGTAAATTATAGATAAAATACTACGAGACATACATTTTAGCAGCTGCTACAATTGATTTTTTTTCATGACTGTGCACATTTCACAGTCATAGAGAAACTAGGGTGAAATTATGAAATTATTTTATAGTCGTGCGCAATTTCCCTGCTTGTAATATCGGCCTTTTGAGCTTCTAACCATGTGTGACTTCCAGATGTGGTGGATCCTCTGGAGAGCATGTTTCCTCCAGAGCTCTCCATCCTGCGCGACACCAGCCTTCATCCAGGAGCTGCTTCACGACGCTCCGGTCTGCCCTTTCCCTTCCCTCCACCGGTGCCTCTGCCCCCCTCCCTTGATGATCGGCCCTGGGAAGACAGAGAGCCCGAGGAGCCCCAGGGCGTTCTGAGTGTTGGCCTTAGTGTGCAGTGTGAGGACACGAGGATGGTGGTCAGCATCGACAAAGAAAGCCTGCAAGTGAGTGGACAGCATTATTTTATCCATCGTGGATCCTGACTAGAAACATATAGGGATAGCAACTAGTATAACACACGTCCAAATATACACAGGAAAATGAAGAAATCCTAAACCAGAGACACAGTTTATTAACAGCATGAAACATAAGGTGTTAAGCATAGGATGTATTATTTATTAAATATTTGTTTTACTTAAAAATATTAATGTATTAATTTAACATTAATATGAACCTAAGAAGAGCAAGCAGTTACTAAAGCACAATCATAGGTATTTTATTTAAAATAATTAATAATCAAAAATAAATAAATACTTCAGACAGATAATTGATTACGCAACAAATTGAGACAGCACAGAAGCATATAGTTTAGGACTCTTCCCCTCTAATGTTAAACAGACAAAACCGTTTTTTCTTATATCCAAGTGTTTTGTTTCCCAACCAGACTTAATCCAGTGTCATCGATTATTTGAAATGTGATTTAAGTCGCACATCTGAAAATTGTTTCACAGTCTGATCAGATTTGCTTTTGGGTGCTTTCTTTGTTTTTACATGTCTGCTCTTGCGACACAAACTTGATGTGACAAACTGTGACAAGAAGAACGGAAAACAACAAACATGAAGGACACCCAAAGAGAATACCAGTGTCTGGATCAATTAGGGGGCTGAATGAATGTCTTCTGCACTGTGATTAGAAAATACCAATATTAACCTCCATGTTGCAAGGTTTTTGCTCTTTGAAAAGCATCGAAAACTGTGCACACATTTGTATCACGCAGTCAGTGTGGTAATGATAGCAAGCCAGATAACCTGCTTCAAAAGTAAAATGAAAAAAAAATACTGCCAAGTTTACTGAGAAAAGTTGTCATTATTCTATTACTCTTCATTTAAATGCCAGCGTGCCTGTACACAGGCTGACATTGAAGCAAATAGGACGGTTTCCAACATTTGGCGTCTGATCGTGGGGACAGCGCAGTTAGCCCACATCACAGAATGGAAACTGGCATAGACTGTAATTAGGAGAAGCTGGAGCTGGAGCTAGACCACCTTGTGGGATTTGTTTATTCCTGGGAACTTGAAGTCTTACACAACCGCTTTGACTTTTCAGTCTTTTTTTTTCAATTTTGAAAATGAGTTAATAAAGAAAAAGTTTTTTTGATCTTTATCCAAGGTTGCCATTTTTTGATGTTTCCTCAGGAAAATGGGTTTACTCATGCCAACCTCACGCTCCAAGACCCAGCTTGCAAAGCAACAGTCAATGCCACCCACTACACACTGGAAACTTCTCTGACTGGCTGTCAGACCAGCATCTATCCCATGCACGGTAGCCCAATGGCCCTCCACATCAACTCTGTAAGTACAGTACCTATTATTACATTTTAGTTCAAACAAGTTGTGCCAATAAAGCTACTTAACCTGAAGCATGAAAAGTGGCCTTGTTTATTTTGACTTGTAGACTTATTTGGTTAAAGGTGTGATTACCAAAAACTAGAACTACAAGTTTTATTTATTTTTCTGCAGTCATAGCACTGCCTAGTGTTCTCCAAAAGGGGGGGCATTTTTGGTTTCAACTGATGATGCCTTAGTACTAAGATCTGATCAGATTTTTTTGTCTGTCTGTTCACATTATTTTTGAAAATGTGGCCCATATCAGATTTTAATGTGAACAGGTCACACTCCTGAACTGACCCTGGATAACTAGGGATGTCCCGATTTGATCTCAAAGATCGCACTGTATTATCTAAACCAGAAGATACTCAATATTAAACAACTCGGTGTTAGCCATTGCTTAGTCATTTTAACACTCCATATACTACTCCATGACTAGGGCTGGGTATTGTTAAGAATCTCACAATTCAATTCGATATTTATTTTAAATGCTTTGATATCAATTCAGTAATAAGGAAATTACAGCTTCGGGACGGCAACTTCCGTCATTTGTTTGCGTGTTGGTATGGCATATCATGGTTCGAGTATGTATACCATCTTCTTAAAACCCCCGTTTTCCACGACACTGTACGATCGTAGGTCCTTACATATGAAGACGGCCACAGACTCCATTATCTTCTGTGCGCGGACAGAGTTTGGCGGCAGTTTGCAAAGGAAGGATCTGTCGAGTTGTGTCTGTTTTGAATCCACAGGTTTAGCCGCGGGTTGCTGCAGAGCATCTGCATGGTGTCGGCTTAAGTGGTTGCGCAAATTTGTTGTGTTATTGCAGTATTTAAGTACTGCCTGGCACAGCTTACACACTACCTTACTTTGGTCTATTTCCTGTGTTCCGGGTTTACACTGCTTTTAAATTTGAAGGCGCTGGTTTAACACTGCTACTTCCTGCTTCGGTTGCCATGTTGTTGTTGTGTGGTCGAGTGCGGCCTCCGTCCGTACAACGCAAATCACACAAAGGTGCCGTGCCCCCACTGGCCAGGGGCTTAAATCGATTGAGAGGATTTAATGAATCAATATTGAATTGTGAAAAAATATATTGCAATGCATTGATGAATCAATATTTTTACCCACCCCTATCCATGACTCTACAAGTTACTCCGCTATTTTAAGTTACTATGTTATTCCATGGCGGGATTGAATCACTGGGTAATGTAATGAGTGCTGAGGTTACAGGACTACCTGTTGCCGTGAGTCTGGTTGTTTGTCCCAACTGAACCAACGGTAGAGTGCCACTAGTGTTGGTAAACCCCCTCCTTTGTATGGTGTGGGATAAGCACTACACAGAGTATTCGGGAGCTTCTGATGACTAGGCAGGTGTTGAAATAACTTCCAATACAAATGCCTTAAAGCACTGACGGTACAAAAAAAAAAAGGAAATTGACAGAATGTTTCCTAGCAACGTCAGCTATCCAATGTTAGTCACTAGCTGATGGGCAACGTCTAGTCAGAGGCTTTAAGCTTAAGCACTTTTTCCACAAATTGTTCTATTCTCTTTTTTGAGACAAATTGAAAATTGAAAAATATGCACAATTAGAGTGTATATTTCAAATAATCTATAAAGTAAATTTTCATGTAATGGTGAACACTTGAGTGTTTTTATGGGACTTTTTATGGCATTCGCATCTGACATGCCAAGTTATCTTCATTATTATGGAATGCATTTATTCAGCGTGTTTGTTCTAACAAGCAAGGATGAATCACTTCCTCCCCAACCTTTTGAAATCTTTTGTGGAGCAAAATTTGGAACAACACTTTTTCTATCCAAAGCAGATTGAAAACCCGGGCACACGTCCAAGGTCGTCTTTTGTGTTAGCACTTGGATGCAGGGATAACCTCTGACCTCTAGTCAAAAGAGATACAATTTCATTGTCTCAGTCTTTCACACATCAAAGATAATCTGTTTTGGCTGTTGTTTCTCCTCTCCTGTGACAGACTGATTTAATTCAGCTGTGGCACCAATGGCAGGTCAACAAGCATTTGGTGCAGACTTAAGAAAAACACTGTTACTGTCATTGAGATTGTCCTCTCACCTCATTAAATCAAAATTTTCTCAAAGCAGCATGTACTCGTCTCAGACCCCTAACATTCCACTACTCTACTGAGAAATTAAAAGCATGTTTTATGTTTTTAGTCCAGGGTGAGTCCCAGTGCTGAAGCCACAGGACATTCCCACATTTTAAATCCAACTCATTGGTTGCAGAATGTTTTTTTTACTGACCCCTCGCGAAGATTCAAATCTTGCTTTTGGCTTACTGAACACACTGAATTGAGCAACACTACTCACAACTGGATCTGTTTAAAAAAAATGTCTGGAAAGGAGTTTTGTGAAAGTTTTACTTTCACATACTAACTAATGTGTCTTAGATTTTGTGAATAACAGACTTCTCTGTGGATTGCAGGTTTTGATAAGTCATGCTGAGACTAAGGATGGGAGTGGTGGGCCGACGGATTATGAGGATCTGGAATCTGGAGACCTGGTGTTACCGAGGGAGCCAGTGGACTTAGGGAGGACATTTACGGAGCCCACAGATCACCAGTCCGTCATAGTGGTAAGTCAGTGGAATAATTTTGGTTCTGTCTCTGTGAGAGCTCCATTGCAGGGTGAAAGTTGACAAGTCAAGACCACCGATCATCTACATCTCTATGTAAATCAGGCCAAGTTGGAAGAAACTCCATTTCCCAGAGTCCCTTGGTGCTAGTAAAGACTCATCTGGCTCCTGCAATCTCTGTCTTTCCATGATGTTTTTTGAACTTGACCTGACATTTTCCATTTTGAAGTGTCTCCATCTTCTTCCATCTTCTGACGGAATGGATGAGACAAAGGAAAATAATCCTTTGTCTCATCCATTCCTCATCTCCCTCTTATTGTTCTTGTTGATACAGTATCTCTAATGTTCCTGCCCTATTTTTCTATTTTCTTCTTAATGTGGTCAAACACAGACACACAGTCATGTAGGGCGAGTGTGCTTAGCAGTGGAATCTCATGTCAGATCCCTGCTGATATTTGTGTTGGCTTTTTGTCTTATTCTCCTCCTAGTTCAATTGCACATACCGAAAGAACCAGGAAACCTCAGAAACACTTCCCAGGATTGTACCGGGACCAGGGAGGCAACCGGTCAACAACATGACGTTCAACATGGAGTTGTACAACACACTGCCATTCAACAACCCCTCACGCCAGGCCTTCTACACCGTTTCACAGAATCAGCAAGTCTTTGTGGAGGTATGCGTTGCATCCAACACATTACCTCTTATTTCTTATGCAGCTTGTGTTTTTGTCCCTCAATTAAAACTTTAGAATGAAAACTTTGCTGTGTGTACTCTCTGTCTGGGACTTGAGCTCTTCCTGCTTTGATCTCTTAGTGTGGCATCCACAAGGTCAATTTGTATTTTGTCTAGTTGGGGCTAAAAAGCTAACACTCACATTCACCCCGCATATTCGTTGTATTACCTCTCTACGTGTCACAGTATCCTGTCTGTCTGGCTCAAAGTCCTGTCTGTCTGACTGTTTTTGCAACAGTAATTATGGAGGTCATGTAAGAGATGGCAAGGACTCATACTTTGAGGTCCTTTGAAGAGATGATTTATGGTGATATCAGCAGGAGATGCTCCACTCAGTGTGGACGCGGAGCCAGCTGGTTACAAAGAGTTTTCTGTGTATGTGTTTTCAATGAGGATACCATCACTGACAATCCAACAGAAGTAAAGAGGAAGAATAATAACTCAAGGGGCTGTCTTACGGATGGAAAGATATTACGAATGTCCGACTCACTGAAATTACTGAAATACTTACTGAAGAAATTTGTTGCAGTTGGCTAATCTGTTGGCAAATAGTGGGAATAGGAGTTAACTAAACATTAAAGTAGAACCAATTTAATGAGCTAAAGGATGCTTGAAAGCAGATGATGAAAACTGTGTTGGTCACTCTGAGCAACCTACTTCCATTTAAGTACAGTTTGACATTTTGTGAAATGCATCAATTTACTTTCCTTTTGAGAGCTAGATGAGAAGATTGATATCACTCTCATGCTCTGAAACTACACCCAGAATCCATGCAAAAACTTAAAGCTGCAGTAGGTAATTGTTATACAAATATTTCTTAGTCATATTTGCTGAAACCTTCACTATATCCTGACAGATTGTGAAACAATCTGGTTCCTCTGGCTCGTTCTAGTGCTCCTAATGGCATTTGCAAGAATCCACCGGGACTGAACGAAAAAAAACAAGAAAGATAGCTGATTTATAGGGTATTGCACGATTATTATGTTATTGTTATCATGAGTTACAGAAAATCTTAAAAGAATTAAAACCAAAGGGGATTTTTGTCAAACGCTTTATTTGAATTTCACAAAGTATGTCCTATAATTTAAAAGAGTTCAGTATTTTTTTAATAACACTAATACAGTAGAATTCAATACCGTAGATAAGCATACATTATATCCTAACTGTCAACCTCAGTATACTATGGTATCGATATTCAGCTGCAAACCTAGACTCTTTACAAGAGAGTGAATAAGTGTACTTCCCAAAATGTCAGTTTACTCTTTTAAGGAGTTTTCCACACTCATCATTACTATCTTCTCATGACAAATGATCCCTGTATTTGAAGAATAAATGTTTTATTCTTCTCCCTCATGTGCTTCAGGTCACATCAACCACATCAGATCCGGAGCTGGGTTTCACCATCGTATCGTGCTTCATTTCTCCTAACTCCAACCACATCGTGCCCTCAGAGTACACTCTCATTGAGACAGTCTGCCCCAAGGATGACTCCGTCAAGTACTATTCTAAGAGGGACTTCCCTGTTCCTCACATACAGACGGAGAAGAAAGGTTTCAGCTTCATCTTCAATTCAGACTTCAACATGTCCCTACTTTTCCTGCACTGTCAGATGTCTCTCTGCTCCAAGAGATTCCATAGCAACCAAAGACTACCACCGGTATGAAACATAGTCTTCTCCAAATTCTTTTACCCTTTTGCATGTTTAATGAATGTACTGTACAAGCCATCAAAGCTGTTTTAGTCTCCCCAGACGTACATATTGTTTGTTTGACAATATTTTAAGTCGGTGTGGTAGTGAACTATCTTTACTCTGGCTGACCTGAGCCATTCAGAATCAGGTCTGCACCCGAAGCTAAGCAGGAAACATGAATCGGTGTAAAGTTTGCCAAGTATCCAGCTGCAGAACAAAATAAGCATCCATCTTAGCCATCATTTTCATTTTTCTCTTACTGTGTTATCTGTCCAACTCAATCTCTCCAAAAATCTCTTGCAAGCACTTTCCCTTTTCTGTTTTTTCACATGAAAAAGGTAGTGATAAAGTATAAGCTGACTTGTGACAGTGAAGCTAATTGTTATAGCTTGATTACCATCAGGGTCAGGTTAAAGCTCATGGGTTTGTCATTTGTTTGATTTCCAAGTTTATACTTTGGGTCAGATATGAATGATGGCATTTACTTGAGGTTAAGAAATGTTAAATGTGTTTGCTTTTGTATTTATATTTATTTCTGCTTTCTACAGAGTGACATGTTTCTTTTTGTAGGATTTCTTCACTGTAAATGTTGTATTTTTAACTTTTTAATTCTCTTTATTTCTTTAATTGTATCCACACAGTGCTTACAACCCAGTCAGACCTGTGACTCTCTTACCGGGGAAGAAGTCATGGTTATGATGATGAACTCCAAGATGTCAACCAAGCCGCTGGTTGTGGTGGATGGATCTGCTCAACCAGACGAAACAAGTTAGTTCAAAATCACATTTTACCCCTACTTAGCCCTTGTGCCATGAGCTCAACCTAAATAAGACACATGTGGCTCTTAAAAGCTCCTGTCACTCTAATCCATGTTTCCGTTTTAGCAACACTACACATTATGAATGAAGCTCTGATTTCCATTGTTTTGAGTATGAAGTTTGATAAGGAGTAAAGAGAGAAGCCGGTCCGAGGGCGAGGAGAAAGAGAAAGCTCGGTCCGGTACTTGGAGATTAGACCAAACCACAAAACACTGCTCATCACTTCCCCACATCTGGTCATCATCAACTGCGATGTGTGTGTGTGTGCACACGCATGTGTCTGTTTACATTAATGTCTGTACACAAGAGTGTGTTTTTGGGTGTGTGTACATACTAGCATGTGGTTAACTGCAGTAAAGGAGGCGTCTGCTAACACTGAGGCCCAGTTCGGGCTCCTCTGGAGTCTGGACCAGTCCATGCTGAGGGAGAGGTGGAAAAGAGGAGTCATACAGAACCAAGCTCCAGTTGTTTTCACTTAGGACCTTCACTGTGGCCTCCCCTTTCCACTAGAGAAGGGAGGAGTGTGTGTGTGTGAGGGGAGTGGTGGTCCTCTTGTTGGCTTTGGGAGTCCAGCCAGAGAGCCTAAAGGCCCCTCGATCATCACTTGTTTAGTCACTCATTCATTCGCTTGCTGTGTTGCGGAGTCTCAGGGGCTGTGAGTGTGATCAGAGGGAGGGAGCAACCTACAGATTGTGGGGGAGGCCTGAGGTAACCACCCGCACATTTTACTAATTATGACCTAAACTGGGATGGGGTGATATCATGAGTACCCAATCTCTGGTGGACTGCCAGAGCTTTTCAAATCAGCATCCCCTCTGAGCAATGACATCAACAAGAAAGCTGTGGTCAGTTTAACTATATTGACTCATGAGTTTACACACCATTTCAATCAGTGTAAGCTAGAGCCCGACTGATATATCAGCATGGCCGATATTGGCTAATTAAAGCTTTTCGTGGATAAATTGGTATATATGCGTGCTGATAAGTAACATGAAATAGTGGAGAAATGACAATGATATGTTTGCTGTAAAACAGTCACATACAATATGTTGTCCACCAGAAAGCACTGATAGCACAGGCTTAAGAGTGACCTTATGGTTTAAAAAAGCTTTATGACTTTAACTTTACGCAGTTGTGATTAGTGTTTTTCACAATTTTCTGAATTTGTATTGACCAAAAGTTTAATCAGTTAATCATGAAAAATAATAGGTCAGTACAGAGTCAGTACAGACCCTCAAGAATCAATATAAATATCAGTCTCAAAAATGCCGTATCAGTCAGGCTTGAGTGGGAGTAGTCAGATTTGTACAGAAAATTGCTGAACAGAAGTGGGGGGATTTATTACTGTACATTTTAATTGGACATTTGGTTTCAGTTCTGGGCAGAGATGTAGATGCAGTCACTTCTTAGCACAGAAGTCCCAGTGTTGTTGTTAAAGAGGCTGCTGAGGATACTTGTGAAGAGAGACTCTGAATTTTGCAGTAATGAGTGAGTGAGTAAACGAAGCTAGTACAGAGCAGGCAGCACCGAGCACTGCCCACACCACTGTGCCAGTGCAGCGGGTTTATTTTCCATGGAACAGATTAAGTAAACACAGATATGCAATAAACACAGAGAAAAAAAACTCAATTTCAAAGGCCGTGTTTTATAACACAAAGGCATCTCTTATGCTAGGATGGAAAACAAAACAAGCAGCCTTTTCAAGGGCTACAGTTGTGCACTGGACAGCCTCCCAAAGAGCTGAACTTGATCTACAAATCAAAGAGGTGCCACTTGTGGCCAACTTGGTGCATGGAAAAACATAACAGCCTCAAACCCCAGCCATCAAAAGTAGATTTACTGCTTCACAACATCAATAAATTTGATCCCTTTTTTATGGATCTGGTAATGTTCAGGAAAAGTTGGAAAGTATCATTTATTTAAGAGGCTGTAGATTACATTATTACACCACTACAAGTAGTATTACTTGAGGTTAGTTGAGATAAGAGATTATTTACATCACAATGAATAAAATGTAATCCTATTTAAATATCAATTATTGTATTAAATAATATTGGACAGGTGGAAACTACAGTGTGTGAAATATACTGTGAGTGAATGTGTTCACCCTTCAGATTGCTTATCTTTCTAAGGAGCTGATAAATATCTGCGATGATGCATCACCTTAAAACCTGCTGAACGAAGGTGTTTTTTCATCCTTCACATGAGCTGCAGTATTCACTGGGCGGGATTTCAAGTAGCTTACTTTATCATTAAAATGATCATAAAACTCATCATTTAAAAACTCAACAGAAAATGATGTTTCTACTTGAGTTTGGATTAATGCCTCAGCAGATTAAGGCCATTAAAACAGTATTAGTCTTCCACACTTCAGATTTTTTTCATGAAGTATATACTGAAGAGAAAAATGTGTGAGTAGATCCCTTATAATAGCCCTGCGTAACTATATAAACCACTGTAGCTCATGAGTTGTATGTGGTGCGTATGGAGTCAAGTTATTCAGTTCATCTGAACTCGGCTTTATTCATACAAACAAGCACCGTCAAGAGTCTTACAGAGGCGAACGTTGGTTTCTGCTCTCTGTAAGGAGAGGTCAGAGTTGAACAAAAACAAGTCATTACAACAGGCGTGCTCTCTCATTCCAAAGCAGGCAAACTTACATAAACAAATGACGTTCATAGAGATATTACAACTGTTCCAACTTTGCAAACATAAGTCATGGGTTTAACTTCTAGGGTGCTGTCTGGTTCTATTAAAATAGTGAGCAAAAGTCAAGACCTGACAGATGTCCAGCAGAGTACTGTTCCCCACAGATATCAAGGCTTTGGTTGAAAAGGTACATTGAGTTTTCAGTTTGATGATCATGGGCGTTCTTAGACCAGAGTCATGTACATTTCTCCACGTGAAGCGTAACATAATCTATGAGCCAAGATTACAAGGAAACATTGCACACCACTGTCTCTCGCTGGCCTCAGTTGAGTGCGCTCTTCCTCTCCCCTCTGCTAACGGGGTTGAAAGCGTTAGTGGCCACTCTCTGCATTCTTTGCATAACAAGTTACACAGGACAGATAACAAAGGAGCGATGGGATAGGGGTGAAGGGTGGCAGAGAGGACGTCCTCTGGCCATCGTCCCCTCCGAAATTAAAGTCCTCTCTGATGACCTGTCATCATCCATTATGCGAGATGATAACTCAAAGGTGTTCTTTCCAAGAATAGCGCCCATTGTGCCGAAGTCTTGGACATGTACCAGGCTCGCCTCTTGAGTTCGGCCGTACACAAGCGCCTTTGTATTGTTTGTAAAGACATCATTACAGCTAAGTTCACTTTTGAAAGCCTTCCAGAAGGCTTTGAAATAAATGAGTAAGCAGAGTCAGTAGGTTCATCCTTTAGGACACTGTCAGCTTACAGAATAGCTGCTCTTTCAGCATTTTCCTGCTTCAGGTTTCTGTATCACATTCCACAGAGAGTTGCTTATCAACACAGGGCAATATCAGAAATCTGCTGATCTTCTGGCCTGTGGCTGACAGCCTGACTCGGAATATGTATTTTGTTATTTTTTATGTTATATAAGTTCATAATGTATAGTGTACATCAGCATACGTTAAAAGTACTTCTTTTTTTTCAGCAACCCGAAGCCCAACGGATGCTCCTTCTGAAGAAAGTAAGTTGTTATTCTATATTATTCTCACTATCTTACTACTCTTTTTCATATGTACATGTGTGTCTGTGAATGTGAATTTGAATGGAGCCCTAAAGTGTATCAGTATCGGATAGATATATAAAATACGTAAACATGGGACTAGATGATGTAAATACATAGATTAACCAATAAATTGTGAAATAGTTTAAGTTAAAACTCAGCTCATTATTATGAATGTTATTTAATTGTTTCTATTTTCTGTTTGTAGTTTTTATTCAAGTTCATTTCTATTTAATTATAGATTTTTAAATTTTATAATGGCTTTAATTTCATCATGTCAATTTTCATGATAGTTGAGTTTTTAGTCTCAAATGCACCAACCACCCAGTTAACGTTTTTTTTAACGTTATTATATTTGACAGTTTTTTTTTAAATTGATGTTATTGTTTATTTTAAGACCTTACATTTGGACAATATAGTGTTTCTACTGCCTTGTCTAATTTAAAAGAGAATCTGACCTGGTGACAGGTATAAAGAATGGCTATATACAAATAACCATTCTTCTCTCTGATGGTCTTGTTTGTTTATGTAAGTCATATAGAGGCATCAGATTTATATTGAGACTGTTTCATAACCAGTTAAAACAGCTTTAATAACCTTTAATTTATGCATTTAATATTGAACACTTTGGACCTCCATAGACTTTCTGTTTGAGAGGTTTTGAGTATTTCCGAGTTGTCATGTCAACATGTGTGAACTGCTTTGTTTCGCAGGAACACTTTACATGCTGGACACTCCGACAGTGGTGGGCATCGCATTTGCAGCCTTTGTGATTGGGGCTCTGTTGACCGGAGCCCTGTGGTTTATCTACTCCCACACAGGTAGGTCCTTTACCTGCTACTCCACAGCCTCGGCTCACCTCTCTACATTAATGAAAAGATAAGAGGTAAAGGAATGTCTGAGTGTCTCTGTGCCAGAAATGTGCCCCTGGGATTGCCAGACATCCTGCTGCTGACAGAGGCCAGTTCACAATAACATATTGACTCCTCTACTGTAAATATATCCTGTTGGTCAGCAGCAAGAGCTCTTCTCTTTCCTCCCTTTGAATGTTTTTGGGGGCTGCTGGGTGGTCACCGAATATTCTCAGTACAATGGCTGGAGACGAGCTGGAAATTCCCCTTGTTGGGTTTAGCAGCACTCACAGGAAAAGACACACAATCTGTCCATTAGATGCCAAGACCTTCCCCATCATCCCCAGCATGCCGACCCCAGCTGACCCCTTAGAGGAAGTGTGCTCCCAGCAGCCCTTTTGAGTTCACCGTTGCATAAAGCTGCCCTGTTCTCGTTGGCCTGACTGCTTGACCGGTGATCCGCCATGCCAGTGACCTGTTACCCCGTGGCTGATGTGTTCTCCATGGACGTCTTTCAGGATGTTTGAATTTAGAAGCCAGGGCTTTCAGAAAATACAACAATGTGAGTGTTTAAGTTTACGCTAAGTTTACAGCTTGGAAGAAGCTCCCTGTTGGACAGTGTTAAATGGTTGGGTCAGTAAATCATCCTCCCTGATAGTTGTGAATGTAGCACAGATACGGACACTTGTCAGAACTGTTACAAACTGTTTAAAGTTCCAGTCATGCTAAATCACATCTGTGTAAGTGTTTACTGAACGGGATTTCATGTAGCAGAAAATATCAGCTGTCAGAGTTTAGTGCTCTTATCTTTATCACAATATTGGTATTGGCTCCTCTTTAGAAAGCCACTTCATTTAAGCTTTATGGGTTTCCTAGAATGACAAAGGAACACATGCCTTGTAACTGGCTGGTTTTCCAAAGATATTAGAGGTCAATAGTGAACATGCAGAGAGAAACAGGTGTAATGATAGTTGTTATGGAAACACTTTCACAACGTAGAGATACATTAAGGACCATGTTCCTGTTGATGTTATTAAAATAGGCCTTAGTTGGGTGTGTCAAGCTCTCTCGGCTGAAATGACCTTACTTGGCAATATTGGCAGTTCCATGTAAACCCCAAGAATGTAGATCCCCAAAAACAACCAACACAAATGTCAGCTGAGAGTGTATTTTAAACTAGTGTACAGAGTGAAGACACATGAAAACAGTCTATCCCCTCAGGTCTGAGGACAATATCCCTGGCCTTTAGAGAACAAAGCCTTTTTTAAGTTATATATACTTATTGGTGTTATATTTGGGGTTTTGCATTCATTACAGTTTGATTCCTTATAAGGCAATTAGAAGTATAAATGCTTTAAAAGGCACTCCACACTATATTATTTGACATTTTACTCATTATCTTGGCACATACAATGTGTCTGCGTTCTGCCAGGGCTGTAGTCACGTCTGCCAAGAGATCTGCTCTCCACCTCTGCTCAATTTGTGAAATAACATACGAATGAAAAATTCAAACCAATAGTGAAAACAGGCTGACATGAGTAGAATTTTTTACACATTATCTGCTCGGAAAGAGAAACATGTGCTACAAGCTTAAAAATAATGGTGATCACACACTGCACACTATCTTGACAGCGGAAACTACACACGACTTTTAGCCACGCTAGCAGCAAGGCTCGTGGATTGTGTTGGTTGGTCGGTCTTCAACTTTGAAATATCTCACCAATTATTGGATGGATTGCCATGTCAGTTTTTGAGTTTGGATGAATGATAATAACGTTGGTTAATTTTACTTTTAAACTTGCACCATCGTTAAAACTATCATTTGTCCAAAACTTGACCAGATACTTGCAAAACTGATGACATTCCCATCAGCCCCAGGTGTACTTTGTGTTTTGTGTTTTAGAAAATTAATTAGATTTAGAAAATGTTAGGATGCTAAAAGGCTACACTAAGATGGAGATCATAATAAACATTACATGTGTTAAACATCAGCATGTTAGCATTTTAGCACACTAACATTAGCATTTAGCTCAAAGCACCCCTATGTCTCAGACATATCATATAGCCTCACAGAGTTGCTAGCATGACTTGTTCTTTCAAATATTAGTAATTGTCATTGATTTAACAAACACATACGAAATATTTCACTTGTCAAATTAGTCACTTTCAAAAATGTGAAACAAATATTTTCAAGTTTTTTTTCATGTACTTGGACACTGTTGAAGTGTTGACTGTGCCAAGAGCAGGGTTGGGTCAGATTACTTTTACATGTAGTCAGTTATTAAATACAAATTAGATGGCAATGTTTGTATTTAGTAACATAATCCATTAGATTACAAAACAATGTTTTTAAAATGAATACTTTTGGAATACTACAAAATCAATTTAAAAGACAAAAGAATTTGTGTTGCACATTTCTGAAGTTGAAGTGAATATTGGCAGGAATGGAAGGCAGTTTTGGAGGGACTGAACTTTCCATCTTGACTCAACACTGTTCTTTTTTCTCCAAGTTATTAGGTCATTGGTTATCATGAAATAAAGTTTCATAATTGTAAAAATGACATATTTAAAAGTCCTAATCAAAAATGTAATCAAGTAATCCTTGACAATGTAACTAAAATCTAATTACTGGACTTATTATAGTTACTTATTTTTTGTTATCTGATTACAACCCAACCCTGGCCAAGAGATACTGAGGTTGTGCTTCTGCTTTTGTGTTTCGTCCAGAGGATAAAGCAAATTGTCAGACATCTGTTTTCAGAGTTTTCATACACAGTATGTTTCTGTAACATTAAAGCAGCCTTTATCTCTCCTATCTAGAAAGATAATATTGGACTTGGGAATTTATATTTCCTCAGACAGATGAGGTGAATCCAAGTCCCTTTTGTTTTGTAGAACTCTCTGTCCTGTGAGGGAAAGACCCCTGGCAGTTCTGCTCTGGTAAACATTAACAGGGGCCCCGAAGAGGGAGCGGGATGCAAGATGGCCTGTGGACACAATGTGCCTGCCATATATGCAAGCACTCATACAGACAACGTGTAGGACGAACCAAGCTGTCAATAGAAAAATGTTTGTCTAAGAGAGATAATTTTATTGTATACTCTCCATTATTCTGGGAGGAATAAAGCTTGGAAGCAATAATTGCTCCAAATTCTCAAATTAAACACAGACTTGGCTTTGTTTCAAAAGCTGTTCATTGTCTATCAGAGACATTTCCTGTAAACAAATGTGAAAACTTTGATTTGGCCCTTCATTTTAAGCATTGGATCCTGAGAGTCTACGAAATGAAATGCTTATTTAGACATAGAACAATAAACCAGTCAGTGTTTTGAGCTCCAGTCAGAAGGCAGTCTTGTGTTTGTTCTGTTTTATCTACTAAGGACAGGCTAATTGAATCCAGATAACTAAAGAAATGAACTCTATGAAGGGGAATCATCCTTTGCTCTTTCTTGTTTAAAATATCATCTGTCAGATAGGATGTGAGCGGTTGTTTCTGAGGTGAATTTCTTTTTTTTGGGGGGGGGTCCTAGCAGATGAAACCATGTTGTGAATCTGTGGCAGTAATAGTAGTATGCTTCAAGATAGTAAACGTTAGGGCAGATCAAGTCCAGAGTTCTGCTTGCTTTACTGTGCACATTTGCCAAGTGCTTTGTACTGAAAACTAGATTGTTTTTAATTGTGCTTGCGTAATAAGGTGTTAATCTACACACAGATGTGCACAAAACATCGGGATAAAGAATTATATTTTAACTTAAGTATAAGGGTTTATGTCAAGTAGTGACAGTCATAGTAAACAGTAGGAGATTAGAGTAATTTTTTTCTTTTAAAATCTAAGACTGCAGAGGAACAATGGAGGTTCCAGCATCTTAGAGGGGTGCAATTTATAGCTTTAACAAAATCCATTTGTCATGTTCCTGCCTACCTCCGCCTTTCTGCCATTTACATCAAATTTTTCTCTCTCCCTCTGGTCCAATCCCGTCCTCCCTTGCTCTCCACTCCCTCTACTGCTCTGTGTCTAGGTGAGACAGCTGGCACACAGCAGGTCCAGAAGTCCCAGCCCGCCTCCGAGAACAGCAGTGCGGCCCACAGTATCGGCAGTACGCAGAGCACGCCCTGCTCCAGCAGCAGCACGGCATAGCCCAGGACGTGACCCAGCGGGGACGTCGTGGCACAGGAAGAGCCCAATGGTTCACAGGGACCGGTTTGTTGATCTCCTTCCATGACAGGAATTTTTCTTTTGGGGGATGCTATAAGAAGGAAAAACATATGATTTAAAAAAGAAAGAAGACGACACACAATAACACTGTTGGTCCTTGTGCAAATTCCTTTTGTGCCACTTCAAGTGTGTGCAGACAAATATACTGTCCTGGTGTTATTGGTCTGTAATAGTAGTTAGCCTACAAGACTACAAGAAACAGGTTTATACCAGGCATTTCTTTTGAATCCAAATGCTGCTTTTTTCTGACCACAACACAGCCTTTTGTTTCTGACCTTAAATGGCGTGATCCAACAGCAAGGAAAGCAATCAGGCAGCAGTGATGTCAGTATTAGTAAGTGAGATGTTGATGGCTGGACTAGAACACGTTACTTTATGACATGCAGCCCTGCAGATGGCAAAGGGAGTGAAGCAACCACTATTATTAACATACGGACAAAAGTGCAGTATGAGCAAAAGTCGTCATCTTGACACAGAGAGATAATGGCTTTTAAAAGGCAGTGTAGGTATTGAATGTATACAGAAGATTAAACGCCAACAAATGTGAAAGTTAAATGTGAAAGATATGCTGATAAAAAGCCCCATTTTATAATGTACTTATTTCACTCCTCCCTGCATAATGGATTTACACACAGGTTGATAAAACATGTTTTCCCAGTGCCTTCTATACAGTAGTTACAAAAATGCATTTCTGTAGATGAGGGTCTGAGTCTCAATTTCACTGATGTTATGTAATTTCACAGGGGCATTATGGGATCCCTTTTACTATGTTGTTAATGTAATAGTTCAACATTTTGTGAAATACGTTTATTTGAGATAAGATTGATAGCTCTCTCATGTCTGTGCATTCAGTACAGAGCTCGATACAGGAGGTTAATAGCCTAGCTTAGCATGAAGTCTGGAAGATGAGAGAAACTGTTTATTTTGACATTTAACAAAACCACAAATTGTCACGTTACATTTCTGCCTGTGTGCAGATTGAAAAAACAAGATACAATGTGTTAATTTGTTAGCAATAGGGGTGTTGGTGGGTGTATTTTTGAGCTTTGGCCAAAGCCAGGTTGGGCGTGATTAGCCTAGCTTAGCGGAAAAATTGAAAAGCAGTGCTAAAAAGCTAGCCTAGCTCTGTCTAAAGCTAAACAAAATACACCTGCCTCACCAGCTGTGGCCAGACTAGCTTTTACCCCCTGCTTCTAGTTTTCATGCTAAGCTAGGATAATCACCTCCTGGCTCCAGCTCCACACTCAACGTACAGACATCAACATTTTCCAAAATGCCAACCTTTTCTTTAAGGCCTGTATATTTTTGTGAATATTGTAAATACTCGAAAATGTTCAGAGGCAGAGAGTGCAAATTCTGTTACAGTGCTTCTGGATTAGACCAGTGATTTACCAGAGTGAGATGTTAATGAGTTAATACCATATCTCATTTTAAAAGTGATAACATAAGAATCAAAGTCTCTCAAAGACTGATTTATTTGTTGATTGCTTTTACTTTTATCGCTTAATCATTTAGTCTACAAAATATCAGCAAATAATGAAAAAGACAACAGTTTACAACCATAAATATAAGATTTAAAACACAGAAAAGCAGCCAATTCTCATATTTGATCAACTGTAAAAATGTATATTTGGCATGTTTCCTTGATTAATTGACTTAAACAATGATTATTTTCTCAATTATTCAACTAAATGTTTCAGTACTTAATTACACATTCAGCTCATTATCCTCTTATCAGACAGAGTAGATTATTATTATTATAAAGCCAAATGTACAGATTTTTTTATCCCAGTTATTTTTGTATAAATCTTGGCACTGACAGCGTGTTGAATAAGCTGAAGCTCATTGTTATGAACATATATTTTAATGTTTTCTTCAAACTGCAACACCACGACTACCCCACCGCCTCAGAATACTATGAATGTTTGCTGTAGTGCCTTCCTTTAGCCTGTGTGTGTTTCTGTCAGACTGTGTGTGGGGCCCTTTGACCTCAAAAAGGGACGTCTCCCTGTTAACCGTAACAAAAAACAGAATGTGTATTATCTCAAAGCTTTTGATTTCTTTTTTTCTTATGTAAACATGTATAAAGCTTTCTACAGAGGGAACAGAGTATAAATATATATATTTGTGTATAGAATTATATTTTGGAATATATTTACCAAGAGAAATTTATTGTCTTCTATGTGTGTAAGTACTGTGAATTGTGGATGTGCTCGTATACATAACACACATTTGTGGGGGAATTTATTCAGTTTATTCATAAAAGCCTCACGGCATGTTTTTTGACACTTTGACTGATATAAATGAAATATTTATAGATGGAAAACAAAATTATTTAACGTTTTAGTAAGGAATACATTGTGCTAACAAACTTTTGGATATCCACCTACATTTTAAAAATCCTTGTTGATATTAAAAACGGAGTTGACAGGGCACTGACATCATGTTTATTTACCTTTTTATATTTCATTTCTTTATCAAAGAATGTGTCATAAAACATGTAATGAGTTTGTAATGAATATTATGTATAAAGGCTTTTCAAACAAAGCATTACTTTCTTCTGTACATGGAATACAACTCTTTATGGTCTGTTTAAACATTATTATAGATGTCAGCTAATGTTTGGGTGGAATTTCCCCGTTTGGCAGTGCCGACTCATTATTGAAGTTGTTGCAGATTGATTGCTGATTATGTATAAATATTGTGTTTACTAACATATTTTCATGTGAAGTAAAGAAATCAGATGTTCTATAACTTTTGCGAAATTAATATATCTTAGAAAACAAATTTGATATCATTGAAGATAAGCTGTAGCAACGAATATTAAACTATATATTTTAACATAATATTAGTAAATGATGGAGTCAAAAGCTTGATGCTCAGTTACTGTATTGTCATTAGAGATGCACCGATTGTGAAATTCTGGGCTGAGTTGGAAGTAACCAATACAACATTTAGCCAGCACAAAATTGATGTGACACAAGACCCCATATTAAAATGCCCAACTTTACAGCAGAATGTCTACAGCCTGGTACAAAGAACAGTTTTGGTCTCTGTAACTAATTTCCCTATTCATGACAACGGTAGATTTCTATATAACTCACCCATTTAAATTATATGAAGGCTTGTAGTTATGCATAATTAAGAGGATGGCCGCTTTGAGTGACAGGTGGGTGCCGTCGCTGGAGGCTGTTTTCAGTAATCAGGCCTCATTCAGCCCAGGCTCCACTTAATGCTCATTTTTGGATTAGCCGAGAGCCTGCACAGTCAGAACTTCCAAGATGGCGACAGCCAGAGCCACCACACTTTGAGCTTCACAACGGCTCTTCAGACAACCTATGGGTGATGTCACAGAGACTATGTCCAATGTTAAATACACAGTCTATGGACACATTGAGCACTTACGTCTGTGAGTGCTTTACTTGCTAATAGGCTGATGTCAGTCAACGTTCGGCCAATAAATCGGTGCGTCCCTAACTGTCATATACAAACAAAACCAAACTTGTTTGGGTTCTGTGGTCACATCAATGATGTTTACCCCCTTAAATAATGAAAAAAAATGAAATCAAGGCTAAACCACTGATGGCAGCAGTTAAACCAAATTTAGAGTGGAATGTATAATAAGCGTGTACAGTCAGAATGGAGTGTGGAGAAAATCCAGCTGTTATTTTGTTTCTGGAAACTTGACTGTTTTCAATAACACTTGAGGAATCATTTTTATGGAGTTGTATTAGAACCACTCGGTTTGAGAGCAACATTAGAACTTGTTTGTTTTATCGGGCCTGTTGCCAGGCGTGTCCATGCCAGCACCCAGTTGAAACCTCTATTCAGTAAAGCTCATGTATGCAGTAAATACACAGCAGTGATATGCAGTGCACTGTTGCTGTTATCAAGCAGCATTATTGTGAACAACAACAACACTGTGTACAGAATACACTCAGTGAAAGATTCATGTCTTGCAGAGTGGAAATGTGCCGCAGCCTATAATCAGCGGTCGTTGTTGGATTAAAGCTTTCTGACATTCCTGTAGTTTTGAGGTCTCTCTTATCGACTGTGGCAAATCCATCTCCCGTACTGTACGTAATCATCTCCTCCACTCCTGCGTGTCATGCTGTGGCTGAGCCTCAAGTAATGTTCTGGATCTAATCTTCTCATTTGAGGTAATTTGGGGGATATTCTTTTCACCCAAACTAACGATACAATTCACCAGAGTTGCCGTTCAAATATCAACATTCCTCCATAGCCTTTTGCCCCGGTGCACGCTGGGGAAAAAGCTCCACCACTTCCCCCATTAAGACCATGACTAAATGTGGTATTTCAAGATAATCTGAAATAATGATGCTGTATCAGGCAAAAGGAGCATTTTTATGAAAAGTGTGCAGAAGTAGTAAAAGATGCTGATCTGAGAACAGCTGTAATTGGAGCACAAATCCATATATCTAGTTATTGATTGTATTTTTTTTTAACCATTTAACTACCTCATGTTTTTCTATGAATGTGTAACTTGTGTGCTATGTGTGTGAGTGTTTTCTGTGCCAAGAAATGCTTCTAGGTTATACTGCAGTTGGGTGATTTTGAGGGCCCCTGCGTGGTTTTATTGTAGTTTCACGTTTATTTTCCGTTCTCAAAGCGAACGATGATTCGAGCTTACCCACCATGCCAAGATCGCCTTTGTTTGGGCGTTGTAAATGTGTAAAACTTTAATTAGCTGTTATTGTCTCCTTTTGGTTTTTGAAACTTTTTATAAGCTGTAAATACGCATGATATTTGTATACCCATTATGTCCAATAAATGTTCTTAATAATTTACCAGACTGTTGTTTTGATGTTTTCTGGACGGTGAGCCATATGTGTGAGGGTACGGTGTGGATACCTCCTGTATGGATCTGGTTTGGAACAATGAGCTGTAATAATGATGTGTTAGGCCTGGCCTTGTTGCGGTGAAGTCATGACTCGTCTCTGGTGAGCTCATAGCATGATACAGACCATGTGGACCTCTGGCTAGAGGTTTTCGAGTAAGGGAGGGGGGCCTCTGAGATGAGTGTGAGTCGCTACGCTTCCCCCCTCCCCGCCGGCTCCATCCTTGCTTTTGATTAGAGCTCCTTGGAGACAGCCGTAAGCAGCGTGCCTTGGAGCAGATTTGAAAGGCTGTGTGATTATAGCACAAGAGGAAGAGGCCGAGGGGCGAATGGTAAAGCAGCCTCTCGTTACGCCAGCTCAGGTTAGAGAGGACTGGACCGCATGTCCCAAATCCTTCTGACCCCTCTGTGCTGTCACATCTGTATCTCTTTGCCCATACTGCCCTTGCGGAGGCATCCCCATGCCGCTGTCCAACTGATGACTAATTTATTGAATTCTTAAACAAAGGCTCATCCACCTCACTGAGCGAGAATGTGCATTGTGATGTGGAAGTATTTTCCAGCTTTCCCCCTTCGGGTACCTGGAACACAAATTTGTTGTTTGACTTTTACATTCTACAGCTAATCCATTTAGTCACTGATTGCCTGTGCCCCAGACAATAGTGCATGACAAATACAGGATTAAATTAAATTTCTTTTTGTTTTTTTTAGCTGACAGGACTCCAAGCACTGACGCTGGGGGAATGGACTAATTTAGACCAGACCTTATGCTCCTAAACATGATTACTTGAATTAAGTTAAGTGAATTTTTTGGCTGGTTTACAGCATCAGAGGGGGATGAGACCAGATTAACAGGCTGTGTATACCCTCACAGCACCTCTTCCTGTCCCGTGGCACATTACTGTAATGTGGTTGGAACAATAACAGCACGTCCTGCCATGAAGTGGAGCCAAAGAGACAGAGTCTGATGTTCCTGCTTTCACACGTAAGAAAAAAAATATCAAAAATGTCATGAAGAAAACTTAATAATACTAACTATTTACATAGCACCTTTAAAAACTGCAACAAAGGCAAGACAAAATGGAAATAAAAAAAGATCATGGCAGAGGTCAGACAATGACAATTAAATATAATGAAAGTGAAAGCGATTGGCAATAAATACAAAAATAAAAGAATAAAAGCCAAAACAGCAATAAAATAATTAATAAATAAAAGAAAAAATAAATACTCACTATCATGTTGCAGAAACAGACTTCCCGAAACAAAGTTCAGATGTCATTAATGAAAATACATAATGCTCTGCTTAGTCACACCACTTTACTCTATCTTCCTTCAGTGACAAACAAAAAAGAATGCTATAGTGCTGTTACCTGTCAGCCTGTGCAGAGGGCAAAAGCTCCCAATTCCTGTTTGTTATATAGATTGTACATAGCGCCTTACTGTACACTTCATGCCACATTCACCCATTTATACACTGACAGAAACGTACTCATTCACACACCTACGCAGGACCAATTCAGGGTTCAGTCTTGCTTGACATGCAATGGGAAGAGCCGGGGATCGAACCGCCAACCTTCCCATTAGTGGACGACCCGCTCTACATCCTGTGCCACAGCCGTATAAATGGAAATAGTCAAAATAATTTTCCAGTGGCTTGGACAAATGGGAAATAAAGTCTTTGCGGTATTGTAATTAAATTCTGTGCACAACATCTCACATATTATCACTTTATAGAGTGGCCAAGTTGGAGGAGCTATTCCGGGCGCCCTTGGTTCTTGGAAGTCCCATTCATTTTCTCCATGGACAGTTTTAGGCAACTTACAGTCGTAACACTGACACAGCTTGGATGGACATGACATTTCCTTGGTGGAATCATATGGTTAAAGTAGAAAAAATAGACCACTGCTTTAGAAAATACCTGGTTCTTAGAAATAAAGGTACTAGCCTGTGTGCACAAAAACAACGGTGAGAACTACATAACACATTCATAAGAAACATCAACACCAAATATCCAACTGTGGAGCTTAAAGGCCCCGAAAACATATTCTCCCAATGAATGATGAGGCCCTACAACAACACATATTTTTGACAGATTTGTGGATTTGTGTTTTTCACTGGGATCTTCTCACTGATTTGAAGTGGGCATCCCTGTTTGAAAAACATGATGACACGTTCTTCCACGCACCAATTAGGGGTTTTGGCAACATTTGAAAGATGTGATCACAGTTGTGGGGCTGTTTGCTCATGTTGCCAGGCCAATGTCAATAAAATCCAATCAAACCGCACCCGCGTCCTGATGAGGTAAACGAGCTGAGGTTTTGAGCGGCGAAGGCTCGCGGGTATTGTAATATTATGTGTTTGTTGAAGAACATCGAGGACATAGAAACGAAAAAAGAGAACAAGTCAGAAGTTCTATTAAGCCTTAACGTAGGGATGCTCCAGTCCCAATTCATCCAGCGTCCATGCCTCTAGTTAATAAATGTTCTACAAAGAGTTTTTAACTGGTTATGAAACAGTCTCACTTTAATACTGATGCCTCTACATGACCATAAGCTCATCAGCGAGAACATTATTCCTAATGCCTGCCACTGGGTCGGATTTGGTCGGATTCCTCTTAAAATCAATGAAAAGAGGCGGTAGTGTTTCTACCGCTTTTGTTGACAAAAACTTTCCTTTTTGCTGCTTCAACTATAAAACAGCAGAGTCTAAAACTCCATAGAACAAGTGACCTTTCACATTGCTCATTGGAACCATTGTTGATATAAAGCACACTGATAAGTGGAGCTTTAATGTTTTTTCAGATGCTTCTGATCAGCCAGAGTACTCCCAGCTGCTCCCACAGATACAGGTACACAGTGATATAGATACATTGCTCAAACTCAGCCTCTGGTGAGATATTCCTCAAATCTGAGTTTCAACAACTTGAACATATTAAGCAATAAAAGTGCTTATCTGGTCCAGTTGGAGTTATTTTCCTTCTGGGGGAATTCTTTTTCTATGCTAACTATAGCCTCACATCACAGCTGGTTCTTGTGCTGCACCAAAATATGACTATGCTACATTTCATATTGCTGCCAGAATCCATAAAAGAGTCTCATTTTGCTGAATTGCAAACTCTGTTTTGATTGTGGCACATGGGTACTGCATGTGTGTATTTTTTTAGACATTTGAGGCCCTCGTACTTATTGCTGGAAAACACTAGAGTGTTTCCAGTTGGAAGAGAAGAGGAAAAAAAACTGTGTAGCCTAAAATTACACTGCTTATAATGAAAAAGCTCGATCATAACTAGCCTTATACCACAAACATCTCCCACTCAATTAATGTTAACGTCTTTTTTTCTTTCCCTGTACCCCTTTTTCTTCATCTCCAGGCTGGACCCTTTTGCATGCACATGTGCAATATGTGTGTCCATGTACACACACCAAACAGACTCCTTCCTCCACGTGCTTGATTATTACTGACTGTTTGCTGCCGAAAGCCACAAATCCAAGCTGAAAACAAAAACAAACAGGAAACAACGAGCCAGCATTCACTGTTTGGACAAACTGTCTTATCTGAGAAAGCTGCTCATGCATCTGCTTTTCAAATGGACAGCTTCAGGCACCGACAGTAACTTCCAATAATTCAATGAAAACCTCACCGTTAGACTCATCGTTTACCACTACATCCACATTATATTTACACCTGGCCACGTCTTCCCTCGCGCAGCAGAAGTCTGTCTGCATCAACCCGACAGTTTCCTGTGAAAATAACTTCTTTTTTTTCATCTGAGGTGGTTGGGAGTTTATGTTTCCGCTGGTGTGGTTGAAGTCGTAACTTTTTAGAAGGAGCATAGTGGCGCACGTGGCTCGTGCAGACACATCATTCATTTACACTTGACCAGCTTGTGGCCTCAACCCCAAAGTGTCCCAAACCACCTTGGGAGGTGTTTTTTTTAACACAAATAACAGATAAACAGATTAGAATCCGGAGCTGTTATGTGTTATTGGTTGCATTTATCTCACACACAGACCCCAGAGGTGGCTGTGTAATTGAGCTGCTAGATTTCTTCATGATTTTGTTGTTATACTCTAAAACTCATACAGAGAAGGACACTGTTTATTTTTAATAGAGGGAACTTTTGCAGTGCTCATTGGGATATGTGCCAACACAAGCATATCATCTGCTCCACAGATGACATTCACGCTGCAGACGGTGCTGACTTGTGTGTTTGCTGCTTTAAAATCCCTCTTCCATGCATGTTATCAACCAGCAGTTTTAATTTACAGAGAATAAATTGTTGAATATGGTTTAGTATGTATGTAGTGTGTTATGTAAATTTCCTCTTAAAAAAGTAGTGTACAAGTAGTATGATTGAATGAACCAAACCAACTTTAGACTCAGGAAAATGCATTTGTAAACCTACTGAGGGTACCAGATAAAAAAAATTAAAAGCAGAAATTACATATCCAATGTTGTCAGCAGAGGGTCAAGATTGTACATATAATTCTTATACTTACAGGAATAAAAAAGGATGAATGCTAAGGTAGAAAAACAAATACTAAACAATTGTAACAAAGAGAAAAATAAGAAAGACAAATTCCCAACTCCACCCACTGCTCGATGGTGTTCAGGCTCCTCACACAGTACAATTGCTTTGCTAAGCTCCAAGTGACTGATTATGACAAGAAAGAAGAAAAAGTGATAGAAAGGAACATCATGTTCATGAAATAAAGTGGAGTGGATTCAAATAAATACACTGAGGATTACAACATAACCGCATTTGATTAGAGGCAATGAATCAATAAAAAATCCTCTTCTTTAAAGCTGTTTGATTGTTAATCAAAGTCAGCTGTTGTTGTTAATTTATTGTCCTCTGGATACAGGGAATCTGATTTCCTTTTTGTAGTACCAGTAAGTAGAATAAAATACTTTTATTCAATGAGTTCAGGTTGTGGCATCCTTTGGAAT